AACCAAATTGACCCTTAATTAAATAAAGAAAATTTTCAAAAGATGTCATTTTCCAAAAATACCACAGTTTCAATTCTATCTTACTTATATTTTTTCCATTTCATAGTACTTTCCATTTTGTATGTTTACACAGATGTTATAAATATAAAATAGTTAAAACAAGGATTGGAATTTCATACATGGACATAAGCAGAATATAAGAGACATTGACGCCATATGAATATGAGAGAGGATCAAGTTTGAAGACATCACCTGACCCAGTCCAAACTCTCAGCATCTTAAAGTCGCGCGGTCCAGAAGATGACAATGTTCCCAGCAAAGTTGCTGCTGCGTCTACTGATATTATAATATCCGATCTTGGTTTTGGTTGGTGTATATTTGATCTTGGGTTGGTGCATAGATAAGTGGTCTCGAACCACAAGAGAAAAGTTGTTGGAGCTCTTCCAAACTTTTCACTTCCTTCCAATCCAACTAATCTGGCTCACACCACAGTATTCTCCCACGACGAGTAGCTCGACAGTGTAACAGCTTTCCTATGGCACACCAATCGTTTATGTTCCCTGGCTTAGAATCTTTCTTTCCCACCCTCCCAAAAATACATCCACTTGGAAAGTAGAAGCTTTGACCTTCCTCATCCACCGCGTAAATCTTCTTCTCTATCAACCACACTTTGGTGGATATCATTGTACAACCTAAACGTTGTAAAGCTATCCCAATTTTGGTAATTAACACCATCCCCATACCCTCCAAAGACATAGATCTTCCCATCTATGAGGCTTGCTGATGAGGAAGCACGAGCCATCTTCATAGACGTGACTCGGCGCCAAGTGTGAGTGAAACAATCGAGGTACGAGACGATTAGGTGTGAGGATGAACCAACGAGGGGTTGGCTCTTGGAGGTCATAGCGAAGGTCGAATCTCGAGACCTGTGCCAGGCAGTTCAAAGCCAACGCATCTGGCAGCGACCATAACCCAGACGACATAGAAGAAGTGTCTTCTTCCTCCTTTTGTTGGGCGATGGCACTTCCGCCAATTCACAACATCGTCGAAACGCTTTCATTGATGCTTAATTTCAAGGAGGAGAACGAGACCAAAAAAGCTATTTTTCTAGTAGAATTTTTAATGCTTCCTTTCTTCGTAACTGACTGATAGGATTTGTAAAACCGTTCCTTTTCTTCTTTGATTTTGGTATTTATCGGAATTTTTGAAACGAAAAATGATTTTTTTTTAATTGGTTCTGACTTGCGACATTTTTTATGTATGTTTCATTTGACATCGCGAATTTCTGTAAAACACTTTCTTCTCCGTTACCGGACTACGAAGCGAAACAGTAGTAGTCTACTTCATACCGATGAAGGAAGCGAGAACGGATTCTTCTTCTTCTCTTAGATGGAATATACTTCGTCAAGCCCTTCTCCGTAGATCTGGTTGAAATTTCCCCTTCTTCTTCTTCCTCCTCCTGTATCCATTTCTCGATCTCACGTCCTCATATCTATAATGGGTCATCTCTAAATTTTCCTCAGATTCTCAATCTGAAGCTGAGATCAAACGGATTTCAAGGAAAGCAACTAAAGGATTCAACTTGATTCAGTGTCAGTTGGTGGATTCGGATCATCCTCGGGAAGCATGCGTTTGCTACACATTTGGTTCAACGAAACTCTATCTAACGTTAGAAATATTCTCTCTATTGTTTAAGTTTTGATCTGAAATTTTCATTTCGTATCTTCTATAGACAGATTTGCCACTCCTAAGAGCTTTTGATTGTGTAAATTTTTATGCAGACAAAGAGTGGATAATTGCAGTGATCTCAATGACTTTGAGATTTCTAATCGGTACAACATTGATAATACAGGACTTGTTTGTAAGTTTTCAATCTCACTGTATTCTCTGCTTGTCTCTTGTGTTTATGCTCACATAAAGTCTTTGCTGGTTTTGAAGACACAGACACCGAGTTAGCTGGTGTCTGTGATGTGATCCAATTTTGGATTTTGATCCTAGTCTGGTTGAGTAGAAACTTATGGATATATAATGTTGCTGCTCTGCTCTAATTGGCTTGTATGCGGCTGATATAATCGCCAAATCTGCCTAAAGCTTTTACTATGTTAGTATGTTACGATTTGGCATTAACCATGAATCAAAGCGTTTCGAATCAAACATATTGAGTTGCTTGGGGGCCCTCAAATGTTATTGGGATCATGATTCTCTGATTTCATAATTTAGGCAACTGTCATTCTTCCAGGTCAGTGGCCATCAGAAGAAGTTCTAGCATACTTTTGCAAGTCTCAGCCAGATCGTTTCAGGTTCCTATGTTCAGTTTTATGACTGATTTTCATATGTGCTCTTTTAACTTCTCGTTCTTACTTGGCTCATTGGGGGTTTTGTAGAGGTAAAAGAGTAATTGAGCTTGGATCGGGGTATGGATTAGCCGGTTTAGTTATTGCAGCTGCCACCGAGGCATCAGAAGTGGTAATCTCGGACGGGAATCCTCAAGTAGTCAACTGTATCCTTCTAGTTTTGCTGTTTGTAAACTATTTCATTAGAGTTGTCTTCTTTGGCTGAACTCAGTCTTTTTCTCGATTCATTGATGTACTTAACATCCAGATATTAAGCGTAACATAGAATCCAACTCTATGGCTTTTGGCGACACAAGCGTAAAAGCCATGGAGTTGCATTGGAATCAACAAGAACTTTCAGAGTTAACCAACACTTTTGACGTCATAGTTGCGAGCGATTGGTAGCTTTCTCACTTTTCCTTGCTCTTGATTTCATTCTTACGCTATATCAATATATATTTATTCACTACACTTTTTTAATTCAACAGTACCTTTTTCAAGGAATTTCATAAGCACCTTGCAAGTATCATCAAGATCCTGCTTAAAGCCAAAGAACCCTCCGAGGCATTATTCTTCAGTCCTAAGAGAGGTGACTCTTTAGACAAATTCCTGAAGGAGATCAAAGACATTGGTTTACACTACGTCTTAACCGAAAACTACGATCCACGAGTTTGGAAATGCCATGAGATGTTTGTGAAAGGAGACGACTCTTGGCCTAACTATGACAAGAACCACTGCTACCCTTTACTTATTCAAATCACTAAATCATAATTAGTCGGAGACTATATCGTATTTGCGGCTATGGATGGCGAATAAACACAGGTACACTTAATTTCTCAAACTTTGTTTAACATATTGAGTGTTTGCTTTTATGGAGATATAAATATTCAGTGGGTGGACATGAAAGTTGAAACCTTTTGACTCTCTACAAGATGCTCTTATCTTCTTTTTTAGTATAGAGAGGTCCACACCACACATACACACAGAGTTAGGCAAAGCCGTTCATCTAAAGGGAAGATATAAGAACAATATAAATTAATAAAAAGCTATAAGATTCTAGATCAAGTGTACTGCCATTGATGAACTACATCACAGCTTTTCTTCATTCTAAATCCGGCTTTTTGAATCTAATTTCTACTTGTCTTTTCTTGTTTTTCGTGTGGAAAATGATAGAGATGACGAAAGAATCATTTGAGATGGACACAGATGTCTTTTTTATCTAGCAGAATCTTTGTTTTTGTGTGTATTGTGTCCAAATGGTGATCCCCAATATGATTGGAGCCATTATGAAACTTTTTTTCTGAAAAGCATGTCTTTTTGTGCACATTGAATTCAGAACTTTTAATTTCATGAATTATGCTGATCATGAGAATGATACAATATAGCGAATCTAAATATTTCAATTGAGCTTTCGCCTCAAAGTGACAAGCTTTGCCTTCACTAATGAGGAAATGAAAAAGTTCCTTCTCAACTTTTTGCACCTTCTCTGTTTCTGCTTTCTCTCTTTGTGTTTTGCCATTTTTTTTGCCTAGTGACCAATGCTAAAAGCTGATCCAATCGAAAATCAATGTAACAGGAAGCAGAATCGCATAACGGAGAACAAAAGAAGCGGTATTTCTAGTCGATACTCCAATGGCCATAGCCGCAAGATAAGAATTCGTTAATGAATCTTCTTCTATCGGTTGTTGTTGTTGCGTCTCTGTACTTGACTCAGTTCCAGAACCAGATACATCTCCTGTCTCTTCAGGAGGTGGTTCTCGCGAAGACTTCAAACTGTTTCACACAATACAAAGACATAAATAAAAGCTCTGATCTTTATAAACCAAACTTTGTTTTCCTTTAACTGTTTTGTTTTCTTACCTGGACAAGTTGGGACAGAAAGTGATGGTGTAATCAGCATCACTACAAGTGAAAGTACTTGTGGCATCGTCGTACGCGTAACTGTACGATCTAGGACAAGCTGTTTTAAACACTAGTGAGTACATCGACGGCTTGCAGGTATCCGGTGAACCATACGCCCCGCTGCAGCAATACTCAGGCGTTTGAAACGCCTCGCACGCGCTTCTACAAGCCAAACCATTCTTGGCTTTTAGCTCCGTTGGGCAATTCTTGTTTAAGTCCGACACGCATCCCGTGGTGGCACACGAAGTGGAACCCTCCACAATCATGGGGAGGTTATAGCCGTCAACAAGGCTGACGTCATAAAAGTCTTGGGACCCGGAAACGCCGAGAGTGAACTCAGCTAGTGTAGCTGGCGGTTCAGCGCCGGATCCATTGCATTCCATCTCGCCAGAGCCGCAATCTCCGGTGGAGCATCCCGTGGTGCTACCAGAACCGTCGAAGTTGCATCCAGTACGGCCCCAAAACCGGCCGGACCAACCTGCAGGTGCTCGGAAAGTGCGGGAGGCTTCTTTAGAGAGCTCGAATCCAGTGGTATCGAGTTTGGGACTTCCGGCGCCAGATAAAATCCCCGGCCAGACCGTGAAATCGCATTTGTTAACAAACGTGAACGTTGTACACTTGACACCTTTAGGAAACATAGAAACAAAACCAGAATCAGCAGAATTTGAGTGAAAATGAGAGAAAACTTAGATGAAGAAAACCGAGAAATCGCTCACCATCTCGTAGCAACAAGAGGATACATCCAAGAACAGAGACGTAAGGTGAGAGATGGGGACAGAACAGAGCCATGGGAGCTCCAGAACAAAAGAAGGAGTACAAGAAGACTGAAAGAAATCACAGAATCTTAGAGGAAGAGAATTAGTGTGAGAGTGAGACAGGATCTTTAATCATAAGGTTTGAAATTTGTGTTTTCCTCTGCAACTGATACTGCTTTGTTTTGTTTTATGGGTTAATGGGAATTAGATTGTGAAAGGTCGATGAATAAACAAATACATATATCACCTTTTTTTAACAAAAAGGAAGATAAAAATGTTCGCAGCCACACTATGAATCGTAAGAATTTAAAAGAGGAAATATACAAAGTCGATGAATAAACAAATATAGCAACTTGTTATTTAATCTTCATAGTGTTTAATATTATAAACCTAACAGAGATTAGCCGCCAATTTTTAAAGATTTTCAACATATATTAATTTAAGTTAAGTCTTATCTCTTGTTGTTGTTGTAACTCTTGAAGATGATCATTATCTATCATTCTACTCTTCAACTCAAGACTCATCCGTTATTATTTAGGATAGTTTAATTTTGGTTAAAATCAGAACCATCCAAAATTAATTACTCATAGTATCCTAGATTCAAGACAAAATTTTGTGTAAAATTGAGTGTTGTAATCGAAAGGTTATCATAGCAGTGTAATAAATTTAGTAAATTCAAGATAGAATTGAATAAGAAGACAATAACAAGATGATAATGAAAAATTATGGCCAATGTGAAGAAGAACATGTCATAATACATTTTCAAATTAATGTTGGTTTTCTTGTATATACATCTTTCTTGTTTTCCACACATAACTCAATTTAAATGCGAATACCAATCAGTTGGTTAATTCTGCAAGCAAAACTGTTACATATATCTCCTACGTACACCATAAAGACATTACATTTGTCTAAAAAAAAATAACGAAGAAACTATAGTTTATATAACTAAATAAATCTAAACTAAATTGATCCTTAGCATTTTGTGGATCCACACAAGTTGTTCCAAAAATCATCATCTTGAATAGTCTCTCTTTCCACTAAC